CCGGGGGGGGGGGGGGGGGGGGGGGGGGGGGGGGGGGGGAGAAGGCCGGGCTGCCTCCAGCCGCGCCCCTCACCCTCCCTCCCGGCCCGGCAGCTACACCATGACCAAGTCCTCGGCTGTCCTCTTCATCCTCCTCTTCTCGCTGATCTTCAAGCTGGAGGAGCCGGTGAGACACCCCTCCCCCCCCCCTAGCCTTGGGGTTGAGGGGGGAGGAGCAGCCCTGCCGGCCTCTGCCCTCAGCCGTGGGGTGACGCTGCTGCTGTTGCTGCTCCTCCGTCTCTTATGCCAGAGAGCCGCCCTGGTGCTGGTGGTCCTGCTCATCGCTGGGGGCCTCTTCTTGTTCACCTACAAGTCCACCCAGTTTGAGGCCGAGGGCTTTGCCATGGTGCTGGGCGCCTCCTTCCTGGGGGGCGTGCGCTGGACACGGACACAGATCCTCCTGCAAAAGGAGGAGCTGGGTAAGTGTGGGGCTGGGGGCTGGGGTGAGGAGGGCTCCCTCCCTCCCTCCCTCCCCCTCCCTGACCGGCTGCTGCCCTTCCCTTCCCTTGCAGGACTCCAGAACCCCATCGACACCATGTTCCACCTGCAGCCGGCCATGTTCCTCAGCCTCTTCCCCCTTTTTGCCGTGTTTGAAGGTCAGCAGCCTGCCCCGGGGTGGGGGTGGCGGGTGGGGGAGAGCAAGGACCTCAGGCTGCCACCCCAAGTTGCTTGAGTAGGAAGCTGTTAGGAGGCGGCGTAGGGCGTGTTCGGGAGGGATCCTGGGCAACGTCCCAGAAGTCCCACCGCCTGGCCGGAGGCTTAGGGCCCGGATTTCCTGGGGTTGCACAGCTACTGCGGGAGCCCAGGGAAGGGCGGAGGCCGTGACGGACAGGGCAGCCTGGGGCCCCCCACAGGAACGAGCAGCAGGAAAGGCCTCCTGACTGACTGACTGACTGTATTGCGGGAGGCCTTGCCTGCCCCCCCCCCCCCCCCAACCCCAGGATTTGCCTCTGGATGAGCCGATGGAGGGTCTGGGCCTGCAAGCAAGCCCCCCCCCCCCCCCCCCCCCCCCGACCCCCCAGGCTTTGCCTCTGGAGGAGCCGAGGGAGGGGCGGGGCCTGCAACCCCCCCCCCCCCCCTCCTGCCCTCCCTGTTTCCCCAGGCCTGCCCTTGTCTGCCTCCGAGAAGCTGTTCCGTTTCCACGAGGAGCAGCTGCTGCTGGAGCTGCTGGGGAAGTTGGCGCTGGGAGGGGTGCTGGCCTTCGGGCTGGGCTTCTCCGAGTTTCTCCTGGTGTCCAGGACCTCCAGCCTCACCTTCTCCATATCGGGCATCTTCAAGGTATTGGAGCGGGGGGGGGGGGCTCTTTCCCGGCCTCTCCTCCCCTCAGCGGGTCTGGGGGGCCTCAAGGGGAGAGGCCGGCTGTCTGCGCTCCCTTCTTCCCCCCACCCGACCATCGGAAGGTGCCTCTGTGGCTGGAGGGGGAGGCCTGGCCCACCCCCTCCAAGCCCGGGAGCTGCACGGAAGCCTCGATCCCATGAAAGCAAAAAAGGGCTCGAGGAGCTGGGTGCCTCGGGGGGCTGTAAGGGGGACCCCCGGCAGTGGGACCCAGCCTGTCCGATCACACACACACCCCCGGCTGCCTCTGGCGAAAGGGGGGGGCGGGGGCTCAGGCCAGCCTGGGCAGCTGTGGGTTGACACGCTGCCTTGTCCCCAGGAAGTCTTCACGCTGTTCCTGGCTGCTCGCCTGATGGGAGACCAGCTCACTGTCCTGAACTGGCTGGGCTTTGCCGTTTGCCTGCTGGGCATCTCCCTGCACGTGGCCCTGAAGGCCCTCGGGGGTAAGGGGGGGGGCAGGGGAGAGGCGGAGGGACCCTCTTTCGGGGGGCCCTCGAAGGGCAGCTAACCCCTCCCTTCCCACGCAGGGTCAAAGGGCACCAAGCACCCCGAGGTGCCTGGCTCTGCTGCAGACCTGGAGCTTTTGCTGCTGCTGGATTCCCAGGAGGAGGTGGAGGAGGAGGAGGAGGAGGAGGTGGCCGAGAACGCCCCCCTGTGCTGAGCCACCCCTGGGCCAGCTGGGAGGGCACCTGCTGGGGGGGGGGGTGGATCGCTGGCAGGGGGGGGGGGGGTGGGGGAGGGGGGGGGGGGGGCAGCAGGGCTGCTTCTGGCCCTCCCCCATCCTGGGCTGAGAGGGCGCCCTCTTTGGGCTCGCGGGGGCCTCGTGGCCCAGGCTGGTGGGCCAGAAGCCGAGGTCCAGGGCCTGCGTAGGCTGCAGCCACCTGCGCTGGGCACACCTTGCTGGCCGGCCCTTTGGCAGCACCTGCGGGTGGGAGGGGCGGCTGCTTGGAGACGCTTTGACGGGTCAGAAGTGCCCCCAAAGAGGGCGGCCTCCTGGGGGAGGGGACGCCTGGGCCAAGAGGCTCCTGAGGAGGAGGAGGAGGACTCTGGGAAGGGGGAGCCGGGGGCTGAGCTCGGGGGCAGGGAAGAACCCACCTGAGGGAGGCGGGGCCTCGATGGGCACCCTCCTGCAGCAGCCCTGGGGGCCAAAAGGACGCGGGAGCCCCGAGCAGAGCAAGGGGGCGGCCTGCAAAGAACAAGGGGCTCCCTTGGCACAGCGAGTCTCGCCAATAAAATTGGCATCCGAATCCGTTGCACGAAACAGGAGCGTGTGTCTCACGGAGGTCTCTGCGGAGGGCAAGCTGATCAGCCCACCACGGGTGCGTGTGTGCGCGTGCGTGTGTGTGCTGGAGTTTCCTGTAACCAAACGGGGAGAGGGGGGGGCACTTGGAAAACCCCACTGGGCTAAAGAGCAACTCTCTGCCCCATCGTCCACCCAGAGGGGAGCCGGGTTTCCCCTCCTTCCCCAACGAAGCACGTGGGCCACCCTGTCCCCTCGGGGCACTGGATGGCAGAGGGGCAAGTGGGGGCTCGGGAAACTGGGGTGCTCTTGGGCGCTTCTGAGGCTCTCTGCCGGGAAGTCGGGCATTGTCACTGCAGGCACCCATTTCGCCCCGGTGAAAGCCCACCAGGGCCCCATCCCCTGCTGGCTGGGCGAGGCTGGTCTGAGCGCTCTGCGGGTGCCCGGACCGCCAGGATCAGGCCCAGTGGCAGAATTGAGCCGCTGCCTCCAGGAGCTCCATTTCTTTGGGGGGGCCGGCGGAGGTTTTTTAATTCCTGCCACCTCCTCTGCGGTTCACCCACAGCAGTCCCGCTCCGGACCCCAGGCAAAAACTGCTGTTGATATTTGATAAACATCAGATCGATATCTAAGTTAAATATTTAAATTGATAAATGATATTTGGAGAGTATTTCGTGAAGCTCTGCATCGGGATGCTCATCTCTTCTGTGACACCAAGCGGCCGTTTTGCACCCACCTGGGTTTGCCAGGACCAAAGGTAACTTTGCAAAGTAGCCACAGCTGCCGTTGTGGGAATCTGGACAGGTCAGGCTGCACCGCCTGGTCTGGGGCTGTTCACAACCCAACAACTCATTCAGTTCTGCCCAGGTGCGACGTGGAGCCTGGAAGGCTGCATCCTGCTCACATTGGAACTTCCCAGGATGAGGGTGCACGTGGCGACCCACTGAGCCCCACCCCCGGTCACGGACAGCTGCTGGCGTATCCTACCGTGGTGCTCCCTGCTGGAGGGGAGGGGTTGAAAAGAGGCTGGGGCCCCCAGGTCCAGCACATCAGCTTCTCCTGGGACACACCCCCTTTTTCCAGGGGGGCGGAAGTTCTGGGGTGCTCCTCACAAGAGGGGTGCTCCTCCCTGGGGCTCTCGGGATGGGCGTGTGGAGGTTTCCAGCCTTCACTTCCCCTGTCTTTCCTGAGAGGCACCTCTTGTACACACGCCTCTTGTTGGGGGGGGGGGGGGCGTTATATGAGCCCAAAGACATGCATGGAAGACGCCCCCCCCGCCCTCCATGGTCACTACAGCCCTGTAAGGAGTCTGGAATCGCTCTCCTCCCCAGAGATCGCCGGGCATTGCAGAAGGTGCGGAGGAGCAAACGCCCAGCCTTGGGATCAGGCACATCTTCAGGGTGGCCTCCGGTCCTTTCCTCCCAAGCCCCTGTTGGGCTCCCAACTTCTGTCTGGCCATTGACTTGACCCATCCTGCCCTTCGCTTTGCAGGGACCCTCCCCTGGGCCTGGGGTCTGCGTTCTTCACCAGGCAAGCATGACAGGACCTCCCGCCCTAAATCTCTTGGCCTTCAACCCTTCATCAGCTTGCAAAGTGTTCCTGGCCGATGTCTCCTTTCACTGACTCCTTTGTATCAGGAAGTGCTCAATTCGATTGTTTGGGCCTTCTAGGTTTCCACGCCAATCTCCTCGAGTGATGATGTCGAAAACACCACTGGGTCGCCTTCTTCCATCTGGTCCAGAGCCTTTCGTGCCTGGGGAATCTCCCCACAAGCAAACAGCAGGACAGGCAGCCACCTGGCCCAAGGCCTCGGGTCCTGCCCCGCCTCTTTCCAGAGTGGATTCTTTGGCGCCTGGTTCCTGCGTTTTTTGTAAGGCCATTGTGTGCTACTGCCCATCGTAAGGACGCTCCCAAGGGCAACCACTTCGCTTTTCCTGGAAGGTGTTTTGCCTCTCACGTGCCACCCGTCCCCTACCAAAAGCCCACGATCAGAATGCAGATGGAGGCAGCAAGCGGGATGATGTGTCCTTCGAGCTGCTGCCAGCGCCCCCCCCCCCGCATGGCTCCGCCTGGAGCTGAGGGGTCGAGTGACCACCGGGTCCCGCTTCCGCAAGAGTGGCCAGAAACTCAGGTTGCCTTAATCTGCAGGTGAGCTACACGGAGGGGGCGTAGCGGGTCTTCCTGGAGGAAATCCAGTGGTGCAATCGGTCGCTCAGCAAGAATCCTTACGGACCTGACAGGCACAACGAAGGCCACGGGAGGGCCGGGATGAGCTGGAACAAGAAAGACTTCAGGGGGGATGAATGTGAATTCTTCCTCATTCAGGGGGGGGGGGCAGGGGGAGTCTTAGACGCTGCAGCAGGTGAGGCCAACTCACCGGGTAGGGCCCAGAGGCTGCGGGCAGAGAACCAGGAACTGGAGCCCTTCCTAGCCGCCCCAGGGCCACCCCCAGCCTCAGGGGGTGGAGGGGAGGGACGCCGTGGCCCTGGCCTCTTCACCCGGTGGCCGGCGGACCCTGCCCAGAGTGGCTGACCAGCTCCCCTGGGGCCTCCCCTGCTTGAACGCTGGAAGCCTTTGCAGGTGAACCCCCCCGAGGCGCCCAGGTGGTTCTGGACATGCACCGCACCGCCTGCCCTGCCTGCCGTGGCTTCTGACGGTGCAATCCTGAAGTACCGCTTTTATAACCAAAGCCCTCAGTCTGCGCACTGCCTGCATTGGGACAAGGCGCACAGAGTGTGGGCTCTGCCAACCATCTTTCCCGCAGCCCCCCCCTCCAGGTTTTTTTGGGGGCTAAGCATCGGGATGGGGGGGGTGCGCGCACGCGTGCGAAGCCTCTTCAGGGACAGGCTCTTTTTCTGTGTGTTTCAAAAGTAGATGTGCACGAAACGTAGCTGCATGAAAGCTGGAGACTGTGCGTGCGTGCGTGCGTCCGTGCATACCTTCCAGTCTGTCCCTGCAGTTTTCCTGGCAAGGTTGCTTGAAAACGGTTGGCCGTTGCCGCCTTCCTGGGGCTGAGAGAGAGGGACTAGCTTTGTGCTCAAGGCAGGTCTAGAATTCAGAGCCTGCTAGTTTTAGGCCAGCACCTGAAGCACAACACCCATCCAGGCGTTCCCGCCCCCTCCACAGTGGGCCCCAAAGCTATGAGTCAGCAGAGACTGGCCCACGTGGGAATCCAGAAGGCCGTCCCAGACCAGGCCCCAAATGGGGCTTGTTCTGGGGCAGGAGGGGCTGCAGCAGTCCAAGCGGGCCATGAGAAAGAAGACCCTGGCAAAGTCTGCTTGGAGCTGCCTGGGCCCCCACAAAAACTGCTGGGTGGAATTTGCCCCCCTCAGCCGAGAGGGACGAGCTGCAGCCCCCACAGGCCGGGCCGTTCCCACAAAGCATCACCGTGCCCAGCTAGACGACCAGGCCAGTTGGAGTTTATGGCTCAGGGCAACTGTGAGAGCCAGCCATGAGGTGCAGAGCAACCAAGGCCGTTTCGTGGGGGTGGGGGCTGGGGGTGGTTGCTGGTGTGATTCCAGCTGTGGGGGTGCCGCATTGGGTGCTGCGGCTGGTGGGGGGGATCGGGGCTTGCGTCCCGGTCATCTGCCTTGGCCCTGGGGCTTTGCCCAGAGGCCAGCTGGGGGCCTTGGGGGAGAGTGGGGGCCCAGGTCCCTCTGGGCCCCCCTGACCTTCAACCAGCTCTCTGAGGGGGGCAGGCAGGCTCCCTTGCACCCAAGGTACCCCCTTGCACCATTCGGGGGTCCCGGGGCGGCTTTGTCTTCCTGAGAACCGCAGCCAAAGGGGGGAGGGACCGCGCTGTCTCCTGCTCCTCCATGCTCCAACCAAGGAGCTTCGGGGGAGGGGGGGGCTTCCATCTTCAGAGGCAGCCTGGATGTTAATTTTCCGGAGACCTTTAGATGAAGCTTTAGATGTTTTGCGTTGTCCGCAGGCTCCACGGATTTCATGATCCTGTTGAGAGCTGGCACTCCTGGCCTTTGGCACCCAGCTCTCAATTCATGCCCTGCGTGCCATGAGGAACACGGCCCAGATTGACTCCCAATTACTTGGCTGCTGGGGGCGTTAACCCCTGCTGGGCGGGGGGGTGGGAAGCGCCAAGGAAAGGGAGCCGTTGCAGCTGCACAGCCTCTTCCTTGGCAGGCACACTGTGGCCTCTTTTTTGGGGGGGGGGGGGGAGGGAGGGGGGCAGGCTTTGGAGCCAAGGAAGGATACACCAACCAGGGGGCTCGGGGGGAGCGCAGCAAGGGCTGCTCCAGTCAAGGCTGTGGGGCTGGAGGGAGGGCTCCATGGGCCCAGGAAAGGGGAGCAGGCTGAGATGCCCCCACTTGCTCACCCCACGGGAGCCACAGACACCTCCCCCAAGCCCAGGCCCCTCCCTGCCAGCCCCACAGTTATGGGCCGGAGGCTCTTTGGCCGTCCATCCTGCCTTCTCCATCCAGGGAGCCCCTTCCCTGCCCCCAGCTTGGGGGCTTCTGGGTTTCCCTCCCTCCATCCGTGGAGGTGACTCTGGTTCCCTGATCAGAGAGGCCCCCCAGCAGGGCTTCTCCCCTTGAGAGCCACAAAGGTGCCTCGGCCTGGCCTTCCAGCGGGCACAAGCAGATACACCAGGCATCTGGGGGGCCCAAGCACCGCCTCCCCCCAAGGCCCCCCCCCCCGGTCACGAGGTGGCTGTCGGCCAACCCTTTGACTCTCCCAGCTCAACAAGGCCACCTAAGGAAGCCCTCCATCAGCAGCAGGGCAGTCGGGATCCGATCCAAGGCTTTCCTTCATCCCTGGCAGTTGGCTGATCCCCGGGAGGGCAGAACCCCGTCT